TGGTTGAGACTGTCTCTGAGCCTTGAGACCCAATATCTTGACCATCTACGTAGATGCGACATTCTTACTGTTCTCCCCATCGATGACGAGACTACATACCTTTTTGTTCACCGTACAGCGGGTGTAGATTATGTTGTGGCGAAGCCACTGCGGATCCTTTGTATTCTAAGCATGTAGTTCCTGGTGAACCATAAGTGTGGCAAATGGTACACCTTTTCGTGTTCCTCAACTTTCTCCTCGTCGCTAACTTCCTCTACGACGCCTTGCTTAGTAAAAGACACGACTTGGCTTGTCGGCCAACTAGAGGCAATGTGCCCAAATCAGTGGGTTGTGAATCCTTCGGCTCGTTTAATTCGCATTTCATCTATAAGTGGTCGAAGTGGGTTGTGAAATCCTCCACTGAAAGGTCTTGTTGTTGTAGATTGTGGGGTTTCAGAAATATGTCCTAGCGGTAATGAAGTGGAAGATATTTCTTCTATACAACTTTCTTCATCTTCTCCTACTTCATAATTTTATCGCCGCTTTCTCTATTCTTGTCTCTGTAAGTTCTCCCACTACAGGAAAGCTCTTTTTTTTCAACTTGATGGCTGCCAAATTTACACACTTATCCTCTGTCACATCCATATATTCAAATATTCACGCCACTGATTGTATCTAGTCCACAAAATCATCTAGATTCATGCCTCTATCAAATTTTGGCAGATTCACTTTGATGCAGAAATCCTTGTGGCCTTCATATGTAGGCTCCTCCCTCTTTCTCCTCTTATATTGAATCTCGTGGTTGGTATTCCTAATCGCTTATGTCTTCCCTGTGGGACGGTTTTTGATCTTCGTCTTTGTCTCCCCTTCGACTCTCTCGATTGTGGTCAAGGGTAATCTCCCCTCGGTCCCGTCGTTCAATTCTACCAGTCTTTCTTGGAGGCGACTGTTCTCCCATTGTATCTTGTCTCTGGTCGTGTTTGGTGCGTATGGCCGTAGCGGCATGGTTACGGTTTGGTTTGGAAGGGGTTTTGAAGGTAGGAAAGCAAAGAAAGAGAAGTGAGTAAAGAAGAAAGAAAAGGAGAGAAAGAAAAGAAGGAAAAAAAAAGATTCTTTTTTTTTATGGGTTGGGTAGGGCAGATGCTATGGAATCTTATGATAGGACTAGGGCTTAGCTAGCTCTGATACCAAATAATACCAGAGTTAACTCAAATCATGACCAAAAGACAGTATTTTATTGCTGAATTTAAAAGTTATAAAGATGGCTCTCAACATAAAAGTAATACTAACATGCAAATTATCAAATGACAAGGAAGACACCCCAAACAAGCATAAAAACAACACGAAATAAGAAATAAAAAATATAAAACACATAAATGACTCTCTCAAGAGTAGGGCGGCAAGTCGAGCTGGAAAGGAAGGGGGCGCGGTAATGCTGGAGGAAACCGTAATGGTGTCAAGATATTTGCAGGGTGTCAGACAGCAGGTGTCGGCGGCACTGGAGTGATTAGAGAAGTCTGGCATCAACCCAAAGTGGTGTTGAAGGGGAGGCAGGCTATTGAAAGGGAGCAGGGAATCTGACAGATGTTGGGTGTGGTGCGACCTGCTGGAAGGGAGCAAGGATGGTCTTGCGGCTGTTGGAAGATGGTGGGGGTGGTGCGTCCTGCTGGAAGGGAGCAAAGATGGTCTTGCGGTTGCCAGAAGATGGGTCGGAGGGCTGTGGAGAGGAGTTGCAAGGATAAATATCTCGAAGGAGTTGAGCTACAGTCAAAGCACCACCCGGACCTTTGAAGACGGTCACCACCTTAGATGAATTACAGCCAGAGCACCTCCTCCTTATCGGTTACAACCCTCGGAATGGAGAAACGCCTCAAAGGCAGCAAACTGAAATATGGAATCATCTAAAACTGGTTAAACCTAAGCAACACAACATATATTTAATGGATCCTAGCAATAAGAATATGAAGGGATTAAAATTTGAAAAGGAAAGTGGCAAGCAATAGAATAGGAAGGAGAAATCTTTATGGAAAGAAGTGAAATAAGAAAGAAGAGGGGGAAGGGGCTGTAATTCCAACTCCTTAGAGGGTCAGTCGGTCCAGCACTTGGCCGGTTCAGCCGGCTCCCCGCTCACCTTGCATCAATGCAATTCTCAGATTAATACAAATTGGCTACTATAATTGCAATTTTATAAAATTTATTTATAACTCATAATGTTCTTTTATCACATAATACATTTTGTGTGCTTTTCCATTTTAGCCTCTTTATCTTAATTTTGGATGTTATATTCTTATTTTTATCTTAATTGTTTGTCTAATAAATAGAAGGTATTTAAATCGGTCACTTTATGTATCGCACTTTCTTCAAATTGTATTAATTGATAATTATTAATTTAGCAATCTAAAATTGTGTCTTGTGGGGGTATAAATGAGCCGAGCTTAAGCGAGCTTAAGGTTTATTCGTGTTGGGCTCGTTCGAATTTTCTTTTGTTCGTGTTCGACTCATGTTCAAAATGGCTAGTGAATTACCCGTTTGTGTTTAACTCGATTCAAACGTGTTTATTCTAATCAAGCTTGTGTTCGGCTTGAAATAAAAATTTATTAAAATTTAATAAATCAAATAATAAAATTAAAATTTTATTTTTTATTTTTATTTAAAACTTTTCTACATCCGTGTGGCCAGAGTTACGCATGAAATTGTCTTAAAAAATGGAGATACTTAATTTAAAGAAGATATGTTATGTATTTTTTCAGTATTTACAATGTGTGATTAAAGAGGGAGGGCAAGACCATGCATCTTGAGGGAAGGCAGGAGCCATGGGATACAGTGTGGGAACTGAAGTTCTTTTCGGGCATTATATTACATACCACACAATGCTTTTGTATTTACATTTTCAACACATTTTTTTGGCGAGCAGGAAAGCGCCAAGTGGGACCGCTAATGGGGGGAGGAAGTGTGGGCAGACCGACAGAGAACAAATTTTCTTTGCCATTTACATGCATACCATCTAATTCTAATGTATTTACATATCCAACACAAAATATTTATTTTTCATTTACAATCCTAGCTAAAATCATTTTAAAAATAATATAATTTAATATTTTTAAATGCAATATAAAAATTTAATATATAAATATACTACAATAGGACGCAATGGAGAAAAAGGCTTTGTTGCGTCCTATCAAGTGTCGTACTTTCATTTAATTCTAATAAATTTAATTCTTTTTCTTATATAATATGCCCAAGTCTTTAAATCTACCTTTATCTTTCTTAACATAAGTCGAATCTAAAATATCTACTCTCCTAACCAGATCATTAGATGATCGACGTATAATGTGACCAAACCTTCTAAGTTGACTCTAATCTTGTCCGCCACTGGAGCTGCATCAGCCCTATCACAGAGGCCACTCATTCACCTAAGCATACTCATCTCAGCAACACTAAACTTTGTTTTATGCTTCCCTTTTAAAGGCCAACATTCTACGCCATAGTGCATTGGAGGTCTCATCACCATCTTATAAAATTTTCCTTTCAGTCTAAGCGGGAGTTTTCTATTACACAATAGGCCTGGTGCATTCCTCCACTTAAACCAACCAATTTGAATTCTACTAATAACATTCTCATCTATATCACCATCACTTTGAACAAAGAACAAGATATCTTAAATTTTCACACATTTTAATTATTTGATCACTCATTGTTACAACTCCACCACTAAAGCTACTATTACTACTGTAGCTTATGTGTAAACAAATGAATTAATGGGTCAGCAACCTTCTCGTCAATTTACTCTAAAAAATTATTAACAAAATTGAAATCAATTCAATATAAACTTTTATGAAATTTCATTACAACTAAAAATTTAAATAATTTAATTTCATTTATTACCTTATTAATCTTTGCCCAGTCCTAAAACTTTCAAACCGAACATATGGGGGCCTGGTCGAGCCCTCTCTTGCACGCATGCTCGCTGCCGTTACCTCTTCTTCTTCCCCAATCTTTCGATCAAGCCTTTACAAGTTGCATTCTCCTTTCATTCTCTATGAGCCGCACGACAGGGATATACCCGCCTCCTCCTTCCCGAATTTCTCTTGTTTGACCTAATGTTTTATAGGTGTTTTGCAGTAGCTGCGGTGAGCAAGGACTATTGATCATCTTTAAAATAATATCTATATTTATGCCATTTTTTTTTAAACCTGTCTAGCGGAATGGAAGTGTGATTGCCTCCAAAATGTCATCTATGCTTGAATAAAAAAAATATATGTATTTGCATATTAATGTATTTTGGTCGTCAAAGTATTTGCAATTCAAATACAAGTAAAATATGCTGACCTACTACACAACAATTCACGTTTTTGAACAGGGGAGGATTTGACATATTCAGCCTTGTCTTATGCTCTTCGAAGAATCCTTGAATAAAATCTATATGATTGTCAGGTCAAAATATAGGCAAGCTAATTATTGCTTTACGGTCTCCTAAGAAATGAAAATAAACTAAAATTGACAAATACAAGAAAATATGCTAAACTTTTTCAAATGGTTTGGTAAAAGAAAAAAAAAGGAGACCCTTTAAAGATAGAAGGAAAACCTTGCTGCAGTTTGGCGTCATTTCTAATAAACTTGGTATAGCATTTTACAGGAGAGTGATTAGGATGATGATAATAGTGGTGCATGTAGGGAGGGCCTAATCAATATTTTCTGCCTTTCACTTCTGCATTGGAGGATCAGAAATGGCTCTGCTAGTTGTAAGATTTCATTAATAACCTTTCTTCCCTTTTTCTAACCAAAAGAGAATATCGGTTTCCTTTTTATCCGTTAATTTCTATGAATGATTCACATTTAGCATTCTAGTTTCCAGAGAAAAATGTTTTGGCTTGTTATTACCAGTTAATTACAGCTTATATGTTATTAGCCTTGTTGGCGTTGTGAAATATCTATCTCAGTTTGTCATTGCTTAATTTAAGATCTTAGCCATATGATGTTTCTTTTCCTAACTTTTCTTATTACATGGGAACTCTGATTAGCAGAATTTGGACTTCCAGATGTCAATACACAATGCTAGAATAACCTCAATGAAGTTTCCATCACCGTTTACATCCACTACAACATCAAAAGAGCAAATGCGACTGAAGGGTGATTCATCAGGATTTGCATCTTCTGGTTATACTGTAGAACCAATACACAATGGTTCTTTTGTAAAGCTGGGCCTTAGTAATGCGAAAAACATCTATGCCAAATTAGTAGTAAGTGCATATTCCAATTTGAAAGGACATAAATGACCTATCCTTGTTCATTAAATAATGAGCTCTTGACTGAATAGCCTATAGATGAATGATATATCCCTCAAATAAATGTGAGGTGGCCTTGAATTGCATCTCTTTATCTTCTCAGTTGCTTTCACGTGCATTTCTTCTTAGAAACTTTGTAACTTGTTCTTAGTTTAATCTCTACAGGTTGGAGCTGATGGCGCCAAGTCACATGTCAGGGAGAAGGCTGGATTGAATACAACTGGTTGGAATTATCGGCAAAATGCAGTCATTTGCACAGTTGAGCACTCTGTTGAAAACCACTGTGCTTGGCAGAGATTTCTGCCTTCTGGTCCCATTGCACTCTTACCTATTGGTGACAAGTTTAGTAATATTGTTTGGACAATGAGCCCGGAAGAATCTTTGACTCACAAAACAATGAGTAGGGATTCCTTCGTGATGTCAGTGAATTTTGCCTTGGATTATGGTTATGGCTCTCACCCTCAATCAAGTTTTCTCGATGAATTTGTGCACAGAATATCATCTATTTCTGGACATGGTACAGCATCAATGGCAGAACCTTTCCAGGTGCCACCAGAAGTTACTGATGTAGTGTCAGAAAGAATGACATTCCCTCTGTCATTAATGCATGCTCGTGAGTATGCTTCCGAAAGGGTGGTCCTCATTGGTGATGCAGCACATGCTGTGCATCCTTTAGCTGGTCAAGGAGTCAATTTAGGGTTCGGCGATGCAGCTACATTATCAAAAGTAATTGATGAAGGTCTCCAAGTAGGGGCTGACATAGGAGAGGTATTCACCATTCTAATTTAGTAAGTAAAAAGGACCATATTTTCTAGGATTCTAGAAAAGTAAAAAAAAAAAGAACATGTATATCTTCTATAAATTTCTCCATAGTTTTTGTAAATTATTGAATTAGCTGAAAGTCGTTATTCTGTACAATGTGAGAGTCATGTATCCGCTGTCAATAGTGATGTAACTTTGCAAAGTTCTGTTTGGCGTCCAAATACAAAATCAACATGGGACCACAAATTGTACTTGGTATAATCATTTGAGTGTTAAATTTGCTCTATGCTTGACTTTTACTCTCGCCAAATGATTGTTCTGTGTATGTTGTTGGGTAGCATCTGTATTAGGATTTGTAGCTTGAAACACTTTATTTGGTCTAACAGAACTGCACATAAATTATGTTTGGAATCATTAAAATACTTACCAACTGGTAGCTGAAAACCATTATTGGAGACAACATGCACTGGTGTCAAGCTGTTGATTTTATTTCCTTGCTTGCGGCAATACAGCTTGTTGTAAGTTAATGCATTATTGGTCAGATTTGTAATTGCTAATCTTTTCAACAAGCCTTTGTTATAATTTTACAAGCTAGAACTTCTCACTGGAAAGAATTGAATGCTATATTTTATTTTCTATGTATTTTCTGGAGACATACTATTTTGCAGTGCATGATGCTTTCTCAGAGCTTATGCCTAATTTGGCATTCTTTGTTTGTGGCATGATTAGTGATGCGGGAGCTTACCGTCCACGGTATTGTAGCAGCTACAGTAAATGCACTTGGTTACTGTGACTGCTACAGTAACCGCGGCCCCCTTCTTATTTAATCCCTTTCCTTTCCTTTCCTTTCCTTTCAAAATAATTTTCCATTATAATTTATTTCTTTCTCTACTTCTTTTATATTCCTCGTCTTGCCTATTATATCTCTTTCCAATCCTACTCTTTACCTATTTTATCTACTAATCCTTTCTTTATATAGGGTTAGGGAGGAGTTTTATGAGTGTTGATTTCTGAGTGCTGTTTTAGAGGCATTCTTGCCCTTCGGGTGCTGTACCCAATGACAAGGTGCTCCGGCTGTGATTTGACTCCAACGTGAGATTATTCTTTTGCAGCCCCCTCTTGCCCCACTTTCAGTAGCTGCAAACCACTTGACCTTGCTGCCATCTTCATTCCTTGCTGCTGATCGACGTTTCCTGCTGCTATCTTGCTGCTGTGGGCCGCGCCAACACCCTCCCTGCTACTGTTCAATGCTTCCACCACCAACACCAGCCCCGCCGACTCCTTCGCTGCTGTTTGGCGCTTTCCGCATCTGTTCCTGCACCCTCCAACTACTGCAGCCACTCCCGTATAGCCACTAGCCACCTTCCAGCCTTCTTTCAGCAACCGTAGCCATTTTCCATCAGCCGCAAACTCACCGTCTAGCAGCCTCCATCCTCGTTATCACCTGCATAGTTCTTTTATTATTTATGTTGTTTGTGTTTGTTTGTCGTTACTTCCTGCTTTTTCAAGTGTCATGTTTGTAATCTGTTTGGAATTTAGAAATAATATTTTGTGTTTTCATTGTGTTTTGTGTTTCCTCGGGTATCAATAAGTGTCATTTCTCTTTGTTAAGATCAAGCAATGACTTTTTTTTTTCCACCTCTTGCTGCAGCTTTCTTTATTGAAGAAGTATGAGAAGGAAAGGAAGGCTGTAAATCTCACTATGATGGCGGTACTCGATGGCTTCCAGAAGGCCTACTCAATGGATTTTGGACCACTGAATTTCTTGCGGGCTGCTGCGTTTCACAGTTGTCAGTTTATTGCTCCACTGAAAAGAAATATACTTTCCTATGCCATGGGGGAGCAAAAATGGCCTCTTTTCACATGGGAAACAAACAATGGGGAAAGGAACAGTTGAGTCAGGGAAGGAATTCATCTGGTATCAGGAACAATTAGCATTTTGGTACTTTTAAATTTGGCTTTTGCCTTGTAGATGCTGAATTTCATAGTTCTTTTTTTGTTTCAGGAAACCCAAACTAGACCTTGTTTTTTGCCAGTTGCCTCAGGTCCTCTGGAATCTATATCATTGAAAGTTACATTTAACCTGATTGTGAAAAAATTAATGCAATAGGACACCATGGAAAAAAAGGATTCATGTAGCCAACCCCACTTAGTGGGATAAAGACTTGTTGTTCTTGTTGTTTTTGTGAAAAAATTAATGCTTTTGTAGAATAGTTAAAAAATGTTGCAATGTTTACTGGTCATTGCTTCACATGAAAAACCCCTCCTATTGTTGGCTGCTAGTCGCTTCATGAATATGCTCATTACATTGTCAAACTTTGATACATCTACCGCCGACTTTCGGCTACAACTTGGTATGCTTATTTGTTCAAACTTGAAGCCTCCCTAGAGTGTTTCTGGGTTTGACTTTATCACCATACTTGTTGCTCAGATGTCTTGAGCCATTTTGGGGCCTGAAAGGTGCTCAGATGTCTCAAGCCTTATTGGGCTAGTGTGATGCAATTCTCTCTCAATTTTCTGATGCTTGAGCATCATGACTTTGTGGGTATTAGATTATGAAATTAAACTTCCCCTCATCCTCCTGGGTGTCTTAGTTCAAATTACGGTTTTTCTCATCTGCTGCTTTTTTGAGATTATTTTGACCGTCTTCAAGGGGCGGGGGTCATCCATGCCTTCGATTTTTCATCCATATTCATTTCATGCACAGGTTATTCCGGTAGCTATTCATATATTACTTTGCCTTCATGCAAGCTGATTTTTTTATTGTGGGTCTCTGTCGGATTATTTTAACCGTCTTCATGACATGACTGAAACAACATAGAAGTGCATGACGTAATGTCTCGAAAATTGCTGAAAAATGATATGTTGCGTCACAAAGTCATTAGACATATCTTACTACATCACTTTTTGGCGTCTTATATTTTTTTATCGCTTTACATCCTCCCACATTATACCTCGTAATGGGTTATCTAACGGGCTCTCGGGATTCGAAAAATAACCCGACATGCAGGCGTTGTTTGTTTTTTACGTGTAATCCTTTTTTTTAAATAAAATAAGTGGACTCTTGAAATTTAGTCAAATTTCATTATCTCGACCCTTCAATCATGACTTATGCTTGTAGGGTTTCGTGCATCCCGGTGGACCATGCATCATTGTAGGTGCAACACGCTAGACATTTGTCCGAATTCCATCATCTCGGTTGTCAAATGATGACTTTTATATTTTTGGGTTTTTTGTGCATATCGGCTTGACTCAAATAGTGCAAAATTGTGTGAAGTAATGCCCTTAAAATTGCCACAAGAAAAGATAACATGTCACAATATCATTTTTTTGGCTCTTAGAAATGTCCTGACAAAACGTCAGTCCGTGCAACCATGTTTTTTGAATCGAAATGATATGCGAAATTCACTGTTGGTGTAACACATTGTAACATACTTGATTGAAATTTAGCCAAAGTCAATCAGCTCGACCTCAAATGAAGACATTTTTTGTTTCTAGGATTTTCATGCTTCTCGACATGACTGAAAAAATGTAAAAATGCATGAAATGTCCAAAAATTATAGAAAAATAATATGACGTGTTACAATAATATTCTACATTTAATGTTGCACACTTTCTAGCATCACATATTTTTGTATCACATAATATTACATGTCCTCTGAAAGTATAGCTCATAACAAGTCATCTCACAGGCTACGAGGGCCTAAGAAATAACTCGATGGGCTGACGGTTTTTGTTTTTTGACGTGCAACTTAATTTTATGAACCAAAAAGATCTTATAGATCACTAACGGTGCAATGAGCCAACGCTCCATTGGAATTTGACCAAATTCCATCACTTAGGCCCTCATATAATACATTTTATATTTCTTGGGTTTTTGTGCATCCTGACATGACCGAAACAGTGCAAAAGTGCATGACGAAGCATCCCGAAAATTGTTGAAAATTGATATAACATGCCTCAAGTGCAAAAGTGCATGACGAAGCATACCGAAAATTGTTGAAAATTGATATAACATGCCTCAACTTCATTTCACATTTCATGCTGCACAACTTTCTATTCCATCATATTTTTGTATCGCAAAATATTACATGTCCTTAGACATTATACCTCTTAATAGGCCATTTTATGGGTTATGGGGCTTGAAAAATGACCCGACGAGCCTACAATTTTCTTTTTTGATGAGCAACTCCATTTTTAAACCAAATTGTTGGAATATGTTTCACCGCATGTACAACGTGCCAACACCCGTTTAGAATTTAACTAAATTCCATCATCTCATACTAAAGTCATGGATTTTATTTTTCCAATGTTTTTGCGCATCCCTAAGTGGCTAAATTAGCACTAAAGTACATGATGTGATGGTCCCGAAATTCATTGAAATATGATATGATGTGTCACAACATTCCTCATAACGTGTTATACCTCTTTCGGACACCCTATATTTTTGTATTGCAGAATATTGCATTCCCTTTGACATTATACCTCATTACGGGCCAATTCACAGGCTGCAAGGGCTCAATATATGAATAAAAAAATGATATGACGTGTGACAACATCTTTTCACATATCATATTGCACCATTTTCTGGCGGAACATAATTTTAAATCTCAGAATATTAAACGTCCTCTGACATTATACTTCATAATGCGGGGGGGCCTACGGGTCGACAATGTCTATTTTTGATATGCAATCCCATTTTTTGAACTGGAAAGGTGGACTATACGTCGCCACCAGGGCAATGCGTCAACATACGTTTGAAATTTGGCCAAATGCATCATCTCCACAATCGAATCATGAATTTTATATTTTTATGGTTTTTGTGCATTATGACATGCTTAATTTTTTTATACATTTATGCTCTAATTCATAATTTTTCCTTTTATTTCATGATTTTATGCTTTCGGAAGATTTGTTATGTGTTTTACAGGTTTCAAGAGTTGCACGGAAATCAAAGCAAAGCAGAAGAATTTAGGGACTTTTTCAGCCCGACATCACTGCGCCAGCATTTGGATTTCCAATTCTTCTTCTAACCTAGTCATAGGAACAAGAAGAAACATCATTTCTGGTTGACAACAATCACGTAAGAGAAACTGTGAGAAAAAATATAATTGGGCACTACACCTGAATCACAGAAGCACGATTCTCAACTATCTTGAAGAAACCCAAGAAATTTACTCTTGTTCTTTGTTGCCTCTATTTTTTGTAAGCTTTGCTTAATTTAGGATTTTCCTCTTCTACTCTTTAGATTGCATTGAACTAGGATAGAAAGCTCGTAAACTATTGCTTCAATGATTATGAATTGTTAACTCATTTCCCTGTGGGAACGACATGTGGTACTCTTTCGAACCACTTTCTACTTAGCAGGTATACTTACGTGAAGTGGCCGCCAGCTTCGCGATGATTTTATGGCCATAAAATTATGAGAACTGTAGTTGAAGAGGTAGAAATTTAGGTTCGGCATTTTTTCTGTTTCTTTTCTATAATTTTTGTTTCATGTCTTTTTCATCACTGCTTGTGTATTTGTATTGTTCTAATGTTTTTCTTGCAGGTGCTGAAAATAAAAAATCTGAAAAAGATAATTGAAAAGCAAAATAAAAGCCAAACAAATTAATTGTTCTTGTTATTTTTGCACCATTTTCTGCCTCCCCCATAATTTTTGTAATGCAAAAAATTGCATGTCCTGTGACATCGTACCTCAAAATGGACCATCTCGAATGCTGCGGATGTCTGAAAAACGACTCATCGGGCCGACAGTTTCCATTTTAGATGTACAACTCCATTTTTTTAACCAAAAAAATTGACTACACGTCATCGCCGGCGCAACGCAAGTCACTTGAAATTTGGTCGAATTACATCATCTCGATCCTCAAATCATGATTTTTATTCTTCTAGGGTATTAGTGCTTCCCAGCATGGCTGAAATGCAAAAGTAGACGAAATATTGCCCCAAAATTACTAAAAAATGATATAACGTGTCACAAAAATAATATGCATATCATGCTGCATAATTTTCTAGCAACTCATATTTTTGAATCGGATAATATTACATGTCCTCTGACATTATACGTCATAACGGGCAATCTGAAGGGCTGTGGGGGCTCGAAAAATGTCTCGACAGATCGATGGCGTATGTCTTTAATTTGTAACTCATTTTTGAATCGAAACAATGGACTATATAGCACCGTCGGGGCAATGTACTGGTGTTTGCTTGGAATTTGACCAGACAGATCGATGGTGAACATTTTCTTATGTGCAGCCCATTTTAAACTTAAATGATACACTATACATCACCACTGGTGAAACGCACTGGCGCCCACTTCGAATTTGAGCAAATTCCATCATCTCAGCCCTCTAATTATGAATTTTATGTTAATAGGGTTTTTGTGCATCGCAGCATGGCTGAAGCAGCTCAAAGCTACACAACAAATAGTTCCAAAATTGCCAAAAAAAAAAAAAAAATGATTGACTTATCACAACATCATTTTGCATATCGCGTTGCCCCATTGTCTAGCACCTCATGTATTTGAATCAAATAGTTTTACATGTCTCTGACATTACTCCTCGTAACGGCGCATCTCATGGGCTGTGGGGATTGAAAAATGACCCGTCGAGTCGATAATGTATGTTTTTAACGTGGAACTCCATTTTTTGAATCAAAATGGTGGATTACACACTACCATTGGCGCAAGACGCAGGCGTTTGCTTGGAATTTGGCCAAATTCGATCATCTATGCCCAAAAGTTATGGCATTTATGTTTCTAAGATTTTATAAATCCCGGCATGGCTGAAACAGTGAAAAAATGTACAACACAACATCCCGAAATTGCTAATATTTGTCTTGTTTGGCTTTGATGGCCTAAACTATATGTACTCTCGATGAAGTAATTTTCATCTGAGGGAATCGAGGTGGTTCATGTATTCCTTCTGACCTTCTCTTTCTAGGAATCTTTCTGGGCAAATCAAATTCTTTGTTCCTTTCATTCTCCCTGATTATGAATTTTCAATCCTCATCGTTATTAGGCTTTGGAGGAGCTTGTTAAGAGGTTATATCCTTTGGCTGAGATGTGGTTATTGGCTAGCTCCAAAACTTAGTTAGGTTTCTTAGTTTTTGAAGATTAAGAGCATATCGCAATGAATCCTTACACAAGCGTTGGGCTATTGTTGCAAGGGCTATAGTGGGTTTCAGATCCCCGCCGTCAAGCAGCTTCTTGAAGAAATCTCATAATGAAACTTATGAGGCTTATTGAAGCCTCTGATTAGATCTCCAGAAGCACATGAGATTTATTCGACTGCTTCCATATGCTAGTAAACTGGGTGACAAATCCACTTGAACTTGCTACACCAAAAGACCTACCCGTCCACTTTTGAAGAGCCGTGAAGCTCTTTCGTTGGAACATACGACTCATTTTCTTCTTCACTCTCCAGCCTCAGAGCTAGCACTCTTCTTAGACTTATTCTTGAAATCTCTCATATGCAAATCATCGATCAAGATGATTTTGTGTGCATCCTGGTACATGATCTATAATAAGTTTTGTAGGATTCTATCCCTCTCATGCTAGTTTTTGGTACATGATCTATAATGAGTTCTGATACATGATCAAGATGATTTCATGTGCGTCCTGGTACACATTATCTATAATTAAGCGGGTTTTTGGTCTCGAGAGATAGTTGTTGGGAGGTCGGGACATCACTTCGACAAATCACTTCAACAAATGAGATTGTCATGTTATGTTTGTACCTTTCGAAAATGAGATTAGGTGCATGGAATATGTTAAACACCTGTACTGGCCCAAGAGCTTTGACCTACAGGGCCCATTATTTGCACGTCAACCTGAGGAGACTCATTTCTCACAGACACAAACATAACATAATTCTTATATACATACATATCTCATATCTGAACTTTCATATTTACATACAAAATACTTTATTCTCTTAAGATTATGAATGAAAAAGTATATTTAAGAAAAAATATTTTAGTATTATTTTTTATGTGATATCAAAATTTGAGCATTATATGTGTAAATATGAAAGTTTAGATGTGAGACCAATAAATACATTAAAATTGTGTGCTAACTTTGGACCTTTGAGGTACACTAAAATTATGAAAGATTTGCATACATACCACTCAATTCTTAAGTATTAACATGTCTAACATCTAAACCTCAATTTTTACTTATGTATCTCTCTTTTTATGTATGTAAAGTTGTAATTCTTTTTTGAAATTTAAAATAATGATAATTTTGTTGTGATATGAAAGAAATAATGTAAAAATTAAAGTATAAATATTTGATATGTAAAACAATGAAGGTGGGTGGTATCCATGTTAGTGCCCTAGAAATTAATATAAAAATTGGCAGCAGTGCGGCGGATGTCAGCGCCTGAAGGTAGGGTGAGTGAGTTGCGGCTGTAGTTGCATGTATGATTGAGGATTGGTAAGTGTAATTTTGGCGGAGAGGTTGCGCTCACTCTCCAACGCATTCCTCTCGTAACCTCTCCCTCTGCGTTCCCTGCGCAAGACCGGAAAGGAAGAGCTTTTACATTGCCCTCTATTTCTTCCCTCGAAAAACCCCCTCCTCTTCAACTAGGAAAACATGCAGCTGAGCGCGAACAATTGATTCCTTTAATCCATCAATCAACCTTTTATGTTATCATATAAATTGATTCCTGCAACATTGACTAGCGACAACAAGTAGTATTGTAATTGATCAAATGATATCTGAAATTATGCAATATTCTCGTAATGAGCCGTTGATCTCTTCGTCGGAGGACTACTCGATGACGTAGTCTTTGACTGAGAGAGGGAGGGATAGCAGCAGCTCATCATCACCAGTGTACAGGGCCAGCCAGCTGGCCCCCTACGCATCTTCCTCCTGCTCCTACTCAGACCGCTGCGGAAACCCTCTAAGCGGGGAGAGCTACCCGTGCAACATGTCCCTATGGCACCATTCCATTCTGGCCGGCCTCATCAATGGCGGCTCTTGTGTTGATTCTAGCAGCTGGTCTATGAGTTCAATCCCTAGCGCCCCAACACAAGCCGTCGTGACCTGCCTTATCGGCTCCCTGGTCCGGGAGGAAGGTCGGAATACATGAAAAAACTTATTTTTAAGCTGTAAAGCCACGTGGAATCGCATTCCACGTGGCGAATTTTTATTCGGTACCGCATGTAAGGCTTCATGCGGTGCACGTACCGAATAAAAATTCCTCGTTAAGGCCATCATTATTGCCAGCGGACACCGCATCCTGACGGGGCATCAAGACGGAAAGATCTGGGTTAGGCGGATATCCTCCAAGGATCCCGCAGCCTACAAGCGCGTAGGCGCCCTACCTCGTCTCAAAGACTTGATTAAGTGCTCCCTCAACCCATCCAACTACAAGGAGATTCGCCCCGGCTGGAGGGCTCTTTGGATTCGCCACTGCGATGTCGTGTCCTGCCTCAGCTTCTGCCAAGAGCAGGGCCTCCTCTATTCTAGTTCATGGGACCGAACCTTCAAGGTGTTGCGCATAGGCGACTCGAAGTGCCTCGAGTCCGTCGTTGCAAACTAAACTAGCAAATTAATTATGATCACGCCCCCCTTCACCTTCTCTGCTCTGAATTTCCATGCATTACACCTTCTCTGCTCTGAATTTCCTGGCTTAGCTATAAGATTTTTATGTTTTTTTCTTTTTGATGCTGGATATATATAAAAGTCTGTCGCTGTAATAAGCGACAATTATTTATCATATATCTTATAACAAATAATTAGTTGGTTAATATCTTATAATGCCAGAATTTGTTTTGTTTTTTGCTTTCTATTAAATCATATAAATTTGTCGCATAGTTTATATGCAGCAAAAACAGACCTCAAACAACTTTCAGAAAGAAAAAAAAAACATTTGGTCAAATTTACTCCGATTGATCAAAAGAGGTCTTAGATTTATGTTGAAATAATGGCAATGCAGGAGTTGATAAATTTTTTATTATTACTAATAAATTTGTTTTAAATAATTAAACTATTTGAAAAGTTGTTGTGCTGAAATGTCAATGTTAGGTAAGTCATGTGATTCGTGTGTTGTGTGGTATGTCTGGTAGGTGAAAAATAAAATGTTAAGATTAGTTTAGTTGATGAATAATGTGTTGTATTGATTATTTTTAAACTCGTATAAACACGTCATACTTTTTTGGGTTATGAATCAAATCTCAAGAAAAGTTTTGCAAGCTTCTAAATAAAATTTTATGTGAGTTTGAGAGTTGTATTTTGTGATTTTTTAAGTTTATATAAATTTTAGTTTTTTTCACAACAAAGTGATATCCGAGCATTAAAAAAAAAACAACAAGAAGAAGTAATGACAACTTCTTCAACTTAATTTGAAAGAAGAAAACTTTGACAATGATAGAAGCCAAAGAGGAAGAGGACGTGACCGAGGACATGTTCGTGGACAAGGAAAAGGAAGAAGTGAATATAATTATTCAAACAATTTCAGTAATGAAAGTAAAAGTGAAAATCAACAAACATCAAGAGGATGTGGATAAGAAAATTAATGACCATGGTATGATAAATCACAAATTAAATGCTATGATTGTAAAAAATTTGATCATTAAATAATCGATTGTTGATGTTCAAAAAAGTGAAGAAAACCAGCCTTATAAAAGATAATAGTAAAGAAGGAACTTTTTTCTTAGTATGTAAGGGCAAAGATATAAAATCAAAAAAAGAGGTTTTATCTTGATATTGATGCAAACAATCACATGTGCAGAGAATGAAGCATGCTTGTGGAGCTTAATGAAGCAATAAACAGAAATGTCTCATTTGGAGATGAATCAAAAATACCAGTAGAATAGAACATTTCCCAACATGCCTCAAAGCATGCTCAAAAGTAAGCGGATGCCCAAAAAATTTTAGGCTGCAGTTGTTGATTGTGCAGTTTACTTAATAAATTGCTCCCCTAAAAGAAGTGTACTTGAAAAAACCCCTCAAAAAGCATGGAGTGAAAGGAGACAAGAAATCTCTCATCTTAAAGTTTTTGGAAGTATCACATATGTTCACATTCTAGACGAAATAAGAAAAAAACTTGATGATAAAAATGAAAGGTATGTGTTCATGGGCTATGACCCAAGTTTTAAAGTTTACAAACTCTATAATCCAATCAATGATAAAACTTTCATTAGTCGTGATGACAAGAAAAATAATTGGTATTGTAGAACGTCACAAGAAGATGAGTATACTTTTCTTCCTTATTTTGAAGAAAAAGTAGAAAAAAATGAGCAATCAAGAATCAATGAAATTGTAAAAGTAGAATCATAGAAGTCCATCACTCCATTAATTTCAACAAGAACATATGAAGGATCAACATCAACATCATTTTTAAGTAAAAGTTCAAATGAGAAGATACCACATTTTAGAAACTTACAAGATACTTATGAGATAAGTAATATTCAAGATGACATTACTCTTTTTTATCTTTTTAGTGAATGAGAACCTTTAGGCTATCAAAAAGTAATGGAAAATAAGAAATAGGTAGATGTTATGGATGAAGAAATTAAAACAATCACAAAGACTGATATGTGAGAGCTTACTACACTTCTACAAAGACAAATGGCAGTTGGAGTTCAATTAGTGTATAAAGTGAAGGAGACCAAAGGAGACATAAAGAGATGCAAAGTAAGAATGGTGGCTAAAAGATAGAATAAAAAATATGAAATTGATTATGATGAGGTATTTGCTCATGTTGCACAACTTGAAGCCAAAAGATTAATAATTGCTTTAACAACACAACATGGATGGAAGATCCACCCATATAGATGTAAAGTATGCCTGCTCAAATAGAGTTCTTGAAGTTTATATTGAACAACCTTTGGGATATAAAGTAAAAGGGAAGAAGAAAAAAAATATAAAATTTAAAAAGGCTTTATTTGGTTTAAAACATGCACCAAGGGCTTGGAAAAAAATTAATTAATAAGTATTTCAAAGAAAAAAATCTCATTAAATGTCCATATGAGCATGCACTTTATATTAAATTCAAGATAAAAATATTTTATTTATGTGTTTGTATGTAGATGACTCGATTTTTAAAGGAATTAATCCAAAAATATTTGAGAAATTCAAGAAAGAAATGACCAAGGAATTTGAAATAATAAACATTAGGCTTATGACTTACTATCTCGACATTGAAGTTAGACAAAAAGGTAAAATTATCTTTATCACTTAAGAGGACTATGCTACAAAAGTACTTAAGAATTTTACAATATGACTCTAATACGGTTAGAAATATCAATTGAATATGGAGTCAAATTATCCAAAAATGATGAAGGATAAAATGTGGATCCAACCCTTTATAAAAGTCTTATCGGAAGTCTACTCTGCTTAACTTGTACAAGCCCGGATATTATTTATGTAGTTGCACTAATCAATCGCTACATAGAAGCTACAACAATAAATCATTTTAAGATTGTTAAGAGAATACTTCAAAATATTAGAAGTACAATCAACTATTGTTTACTTTGCTTTTTTTTCTAACAAATAAAAAAATATTGGATTTAGTGAGAGCGACTGGGTTGAAGATCTAGATTATAAAAAGAGTACCACTGGATTCATTTTCTTTATGGGAAAAATTATCTTCACCTAGGTATCGAAAAAGCAACATATTATTACACTCTCAACTTGTTAAGTTGAATATGTTGCAGCTACTTCATATGTTCGTCGTGCAATTTGGTAAAGAGATTTATCAAAAAAATTACAATTTCTACAAGAGGTGCCCATCGACATAAATATTCTAAACCAGCACTTGCATTGGCAAATAATCCCTTCTTCCATAATAGAAGTAAGCATTTTGAAATCTGTTATCACTGAATGGATCTTCCTCTAATTGAAAACATAATATAGGAAAGCAAGATAATAGTATATTTTCATTTTATATCCAATTAAATACAAGTGTCCTTGTTTTATACAAGGGTAAAAGAGTAATATATACAACTATATATGTATATATATGTATATATATATACATATATATACATATATATACATATATAGTTGTTTAGGGTTTAGGGTTTGTTTAAATGACTCTTGCAGATACCAAAACACACAAGTGGAGGTGGAGGCGAAGCTAAGCAGAGGATTGTATTATTTTGCACACTAGCCGTTTAATGAATTGGGTCGAGTTTTTGACAATCTTTTGAAGCTTAAAAATCTACGTAATTACTGGTCAAGCCATGGGGATTCCCTCTTAAGGAGGATTCTCCATAACTAAGAAGATGACGGTCGAAGGAATGCATTTGTCTTCTCGGTCGGTGGATTTCAAACATCAATCCATATGAAATCTCCAAGGCAAACATCAGGATTAGTACAACCCTTACATCAGATTTTTGGGCAAGAAAGAGAAGGGGTAGGTTTTGCTCTTTGGATTTGTAGGGAGAAGGCAAAGCACCTAGTCCTATGAGACTCTTTCTAAACACACAAAAATTCTAACATAACCCCTCTAACATCCAAACCTAGGGGCTCTAAGAATGAAAAAACAGGGGATTAGAATGATTCTCACCACTGTGATAGTTGATGGCGCATTCTCTTTGCTTGCCCAAATTGTCGGCGTACAAACAATGTGCCAACATACCTCGCAGGACATTCATAGAATGAGTGAAAGAGTAAGGGAAGGAGGTATGCAAGTATCTAAAATAAATATCATAGCATACGAAAATGCGACCGGCACGTACCTTTGTGAGAGTGATTGCTCGAGCTTCTATACGTCACGAAGCCGTCGCCACCTCGCCAGTGACCAGGAGCTTTGCCCCCCCACCCCTCCCCCCCCCCAATCTAAGGGTACATTTATTGCCTAAGAGAGACTCGTAAGTTATGTTTAACATCATATTATATTTATTCTTCATGCTATACATAATTTGTTTCTTAAACAGATTCATTCCCCACAAGCTGCTTGTCACGTACATCACAGAGATTATCAGAAATAGGTATAATGAGTCTTATCTCTCATTAAAGCAGATCCCTATAGTCACTCGAAATTTTTTGTTCAAGAAATTTGAGGTACGATCATATAATTTGAATCATATTTGTAAATTTGATTTAATTTTTTATATTAACATATGGATTATTTTTTGCGTTGTCGAGGTCCTTCACTGGCTCCTAGAGCACCTCCATTAAATCCACTGAATCTTCATGATTTGGGGCAGGCATCGCCTTTGTCACCTGTTCCCAACAGCCCGTCGAAGGGGAAAATAGCCTGCCTGAATCGGTGAGGGGCCCTGGGCTCAATTTACTGCAGCTTTATTAAGAGAGGAAGAGACAGACAAATCGAGTGAACCGAGCGACGGAGAGGGCTGCAGGAGTTGCGCTCCATATTGACGGATCAGTCCCCCTGTGAAGAATTACAGGATGCTGGTAAGATTCTCTTAAAGATTTAAACATTAAGTCAATTTTTGAAGTAATTTTGTAGCACTAACCAATTTTGTACGCTAGATGTGCTCTTTTCATTGCGAAGCTTTATGTTCGAACTCATCGAAGCCCGTGGATTGCCTAATGGGTCCCGGAGTATTCCTCACGGGTTGCTATAAGTTAAAATTCTCATATTAATAGG